TCTACGTGGCGGCCCACTTCATTGGGGGTACTTTTCTCCGAAAAGGATCCATCGTGCCGTTGCCTATTATTCATCCGGTTTTTCTCGTGACGGTCATGCTGATTTGAAGGCGGGCGATGATGCGGAGGAGAGGGAAAGGTCTAGATCTCCGAAGGACAGAGAAGTTCCGATCAATCGTGGTCGGGCATCTGACGAATATATCAATATCAAAGATCTTATTGACTTTTCGGCCTCCGAATTTGATCCGGCCGAGACGTCATCCCGAGGACCAGCTGACACACCGTTTGCGAAAGCGTCGAGGTTTTTCAACAAGGTTTGCCTATTCGTTATTATTATGTATATATATTTTATGAAGGATGTTTGTTCCGTATTGCAGGGTCTTCGCTTTATGAGCGAAGCGGTGAGCGCGAATAGTGCGGAATTTCGCAGGGCCGAATCTAGGGTTGCAGCAGCAGAGGCGGAGGCTGTTCGTATCAGAGGGGAGATCGAGGCCAGTTTCTCTCGTGCCCAGAATTTGGCTGCAAAGGAGGCCGCTTGTGTGAGAGAGGAGTATGAAGCTGAATCTCGTCGAGGCTTAGAACTCTCTGACACGATGGCTCGCCGTGCTCGTAGGGCAGGCAAAAGAGAGGTTGCTGCGGAGTTGATGGCTCGGCGCGAGCGGTTCGTGCCTCTTTATGCGGAATTTGAAGATGCGCAAAGAGCGAATGGCGATTTCCGCTAGTGTCGGGGCTTAGTTGGGGGTTTGCATCTTACCCAGGAACCAGACTATTCGTATGAGGCTGCGATTGCAAGAGAGAGAAGAAGAAGAACGAATCCGCCAATCATGGGAAGCATACGTGGGATCAGTGGAATCCCATCGTGGTGTCGCCGGATTCGCTCGAAGTTGGTCCTGGGATTTCGGACGTGGATGGTGAAGTCGATCAGTCTACGTTTGATGACTTCAATGTGTGATGTTATTAGTTTTTCGATTTTGTTGTTGTTTTTCTAGGACTGGCCGTTGGTGGCTTTGAATCCCTACCGCTGGGCGGTATGTACTTGGATGCTTTTAATAAGAAAATATTTTCGAAGTATGAAATTCGTGTTTTGTGTTATATGTAGAGGAAGAATACGAGTTGTCATCTCGTATCTAACTCTTTGGTGTAAATCGTCTGATTCGTTAACTCGGGAGATTTCGTTTTCGCGAGTGTTTAGATGTGGGCGAAGAGACATGCCTTTAGGATCTCAATTCATGCCTTGAGACGTTAGCGACCAGTGTGCTGGGTTTAGGGCAAGACCTAGGTTTACTTTCGGATTGGGGCTGTGCGATGACTAGTCAGCTTTCGTTTCGCGCGTTGCGATTTTAACCTGACTCCATACCGATTTAGAATCCGCGATAGGTTCTCGGCTTATAAGATTCGTATGGTAGGAATCGAGCATCTCACCGGGAACAATTTCTAAGTTGCCCGGAAGTGCTGACCAAAAATTTGGATTTCATTTATAGCGCGCTATTTTATCCTCGTCGGATGTATGCGGACCGATAGGTCGGTGCGTTTGTTTAGGACGGCTAGTGTGCTCGACGGGGCCAATCGCCGAGCGTTCGTGTTTTTATAGTCCTTGACGGACTTGGGGAAATATTTTTCTTTGAGAGTTTAGGCGACGTCTCGCCAGTTCTTTCCAAAAATATTTTGATATGCAAGTCTTTTAGAAAGACGATTAAATAGTTGTTACTGCGGAAGCGATTTTCCGGATTTGCGTTTTTTGATAGTAGCTGAGATATTCTAACTTTGCCTTTATTAAAAATTTCGAAAATTTTTTGATTACAAAGCTAAAAGAAATTTTGTAAAAAAATTTGGGAGTATACGAATACTCGTATACTCACCCACTCCCCCCCTGTTTTGGAATGGGGGATAGCTGAACTCGTCTTTAGGCGAGCTTCCTACGTATTCCTTTCGGAAATCAAGCCATCTCGTAGTTCTGATTGTTTGCGCGAGTGTGCTTACTCGGCTGTCGCAGACTTCTCGATCGCTTCAGTTGCGGGATCGATGTCTTTGTCCGGGAATTTCTCCTCCGGCTGGGTGGAAGCGATGGGTGCGGAAACTTCTGGTTTCTCGGCCGTTACTTGCTTTGGGTCGTCTTCTGCGGGCGGTGGCGTGACCTTTGCCCGTTTTGGTTTCACGATTGCTACCGCCAATTGCCTCAGCTTATGTTCGGCCAGGAAGCAGGATCATGATTGTCTTTGGCATCCCCAAATTACTGCGACTCCCGTAGGTGTTGGGAATTTGACGCCTAAGTGATATGTTGACAGAACCGCCGGGAAATCGACTACCGCGAAGTTAACGATTTTTGTTACTTCTTTTGCGGCGACTGGTAATCGGATTGATCCCAAGGTCATTGACGTCTCGCCGGAGAAACTAGTCAGCGGTTTTGGAATCGGCCCGACTTCCGAGAGATCGATTCCCAAGCGTGCTAGCGTGTTGCGGAAGATCACATTGACAGTACTCCCGGTATCGACCAAGATCCGAGCGACTTCTAAATCGCTTATTACTAAGTCGATGACGAGAGGATCAGCGTGAGGTTGGTCGATTCCGCCGGTTTGAGCGTCGTCGAATGAGATCACTCCTTTCGGAGAGTCATCCGTCGGCACCTTCCAACTCGAGCCGGTTTCGGCTTTGCGTTGGTAGGATTTTATAGACGAGACGATGTCGTTGTAGTATTGCGATTCGCCGATGATCATGTTGATTTTTCGGCGGTTAGCGTTGTTACCCTTCCCTGAGGCGGAGTTTCTGCTCGCGCGTTCCTGTCGTTCTTCGGAAGGCAATCCGAATCGCGGATGAGATCCTTGACAATGGATATCTCGGAAAGTTCTCCTGCGACCAATTTTGCGGCAAGTCTGGCGCCGAGAACTTTGCAGTTCACGGTGGAATGCCCGCGGGTTTGGTGGAGGTCGCAGAAAGAATTCTCGTCGTAATTCAAATTTCTCGTCCACGTGTTGCCCGTAGTTCGCCCTTGCTCCGAACCGGATTTGATGGCGTAGTTATGCGCCCCTTGGAGATCCTGTACCTCGTGATGGATGGATTTGTCGTTACGAGAGTTCCTCTTTTTCTGCTTCTGCTCAGACGCGTTATCCTTCGCGGATGTTTTCGTCGGCTTATGCTTCTCGGACACGATTTTGGTCTCCTCTTCGATGGTTATTAAGTCAGTGTCCTTATGGAGCGCATCCTGGATCGTCCGCGGTTTTTCGAGAGTTATCCACTTGCGGAATTTCGATTTATACCAGAGTGATTTCCTTAACGGGTCGATGGCGGCTTTGTCGCTAATCCCGCTAACCCTAGCCTTGACGAGTTTGAACCTACTCATGAAATCGCGGAGAGATTCGTCCTCCTTCTGCACCAAGCTCCAGAGGTCGGCGTCGGAGGTTTCCGGGTTAATGAACATCGAGTACTGCTTCAGGAATTCCGAAGCCAGTCAACGGAAACTTCGGATCGAATTTCGCCTAAGTTTGGCGAACCATTCGAGCGCTGCTCCTTCTAGGTTTTCGACGAAGAGGCGGCAGAAGCCTGCGTCTTTTTCGTGGTCCTTGAGCTTGGCTCGTCCCATGGTGATCTGGAACGCTTGTAGGTGCGCTTTGGGATCGGATGTCCCGTCGTAAGTCGGCACCTTAAGTTTTCTCGGATCGGGCAGTTTGATCTCGGTGATGCGAGCCGTGAAGGGCGTTTTCTGAGATTCGTACAGTAACCTATCAATCTCGTGTGCGGCGCTGGTAGCGTGGTGAATCTGAGATTTCACCGCTTTTACCGCTGTGGCCGTTTTGGTGATATATTCGCGGAGATCGCGAATCTCGGTCAGACCGCCCTTCGGCGTTTGCTGCGAGTGACTGGAGATCGCTCCTAGGCGGTTTTTGCGTATCGCGCGAAGTCGAGTTCCCCCTCATCTCCAGTAAAAGAACATTCGGGAGAAGAATCCGGCAGAGGACTTCGAGTCTTTCTTCTCCTAGGATGGACGTCAGCGTCTTCGTCCGATGAATCGGCCTGGTCGCTTGTCTCCAGGTTAACCCTTTCGATGCCGTCGCCCTTGGTCTCCTGTTCGTGAGTAGGAGGTTTCTCCGATTCGTTCAGTGTCCCGTCAGGATTGTCTTTTCCGGATTCCTTTTCCGGTAAGTTACCCTACTCGGTTTTGGGACGATCCGTAGGAGCGCCAAATTCGAGCCTCCTTCCGCGGATCTTAGTAGTTCCGCGGGGGCGAATTGCTCGGGTTTTCGCGGTTAGGGTTTCTACCCGTTTCGCGAGCGAACCAATGAGCTTTTCCTGCTCTTCCGATTTTTTGTAAACTCGGAAAGCATCTTCTCGAGGGTCTCAACGTTAGCGTTTGTAGCGTTTGCCGCATACGCTCCTTGTGGTGGTGTTGTTTCAACGTTATCGCGTTCGTTGCGAGTTTGGTTGTCACCAGTTATCGTTTCTTCGTTGGACATGTTGCGGTTTGGGTGTAAGATAGATCCGACCCCCCCCCCCTCCTTCTAGCGCCAAACTGTGGGAACCGAAATCCACCTACTGTCAAATAATCGTAAATAAGGAAACTTCGGTAAAACCCTAAGTTTCCAGAGGAACCGGCTATCTGCAGAACCGCACAACGAAGATTAAGAAAACGATAAACTTAAGAACGAAATTGAGAGCAAAGAGGTTCTTATTCCGAATCTGCGTAGAACTGGTACAAAAAGAGTAGCCATAAAACTTAAGAACGAAAAACCCTAATTGAGACGCAACTCGCTAACAGAAAACAGAAATATTCCTAAATGCTAATTTCTGGTGGTGAGAACTCTGAAAATCGTGTCCCTTGCTTCTGCCCTAGACCTCTTACTTATATACTCCTCGCCTTGGCCATTCGGTCTTTCCATTTCGCCCAGATTTGAGTATATCGGGAATTTTCCATTTTTCTCGATCCTTCCTTTTCTTCCGCGGAAATCTTCTATTTTTCTTCAAACCTGCCTTTTAGATGGCTTCTCCTACGCCATTCAAGTTTGGGCAATGGAAGCAGTACCAAAGATTGGAAAGTTCTGTGAAAGAAAACTCAACAAAAAATTTATGAACGGTCCTAGATGTGTAAACTGGAGAGGAGCTGCAAAGATTTCATACGGGGAGATCATCCAGTTGGAGAACATCTTTACACCCGAGGTAAATATTTCTATTTAAGATGGCTGCATCCGATTTGATATGAGTTTTTGGTATGTAACATTGTTTACGTTTCTTTTGTAGGATGTCATCTATCCATACATCTCATGGGGAGGGAATTGTGTAGTAATTGAAAGTGCTAAATTTCACAGAGCTGGTGAGGTGGAGGATGATAGAATCAAGGTTCTCATGAGGATGATAGCTGCTAAGCATGCCTTCAGTGATCATATTTGGGAGTTCAAAGAGACACCAGAGTTTTCTTTTGGGGTTAATGATGGAGTATCTGAGAATGATGAAGGATCTAAGACTGATGAAGATGCTCCGAAGAATGATGAAGAAGATGGGAGTGATGAAGAGTTTCAAACTCCAAGAGGAACAGTGAGCACAAGCTCCGGAGGTAGAAAGCGAAAGAAGAGGCTCCCAGATTGTGGAATGGAAAAAAGGAAACAAAATCTTCTATGTACTAGCGCCAAACAGGCGCCGTTTAATGAGGGTATGAAGAGCTTTGTGGACTAGTTGTTTCAGCAGAATTTTTCTGCAATGGAAGAGAGGCTACAAAAACAGATGGGTGAAAGATTTGAGAAATTTCAGTCTGAGCTTAGAGGTTCTGTTAAGGATGTAACCGTGAATGCAACAATTTATGCTGAAGAAGTAGAGCCCTTGGCGACTAAGCCTTCTCCTAGCAACCAATCTTCTACCAAGCCATCACTTAGCAACCAATCTCCTACCAAGCCTTCTCCTATCAAGCCATCTCCTATCAAGCCAGCTCCTAGCAAACCCTCAACTAGCAAGATAACGTCTACCAAGCCATCGCCTAGCAATACAACGTCTATGAAGCCATCTCCGAGGAGGTCCAATCGCTTGGTAAGCATGGGAAAAAAACTAGTCTTCACCACTCTCTCTCAAATGTTAATGTGTGTGTGTGTAATATATTTATGCAATGCATCTGTAATTCAGCGCGTGAACTTGTTTTGGTATGTAAGATAATGGAACTATGTGTAAGATAATGCCTAGACAAAATATGCTTATGTTTGTGTTAATGTACTTTGTGTACTTGTTATTATACCAGCGTTTAATAATTTATCTTCAATTATCAGGATGAGAATTTGAGTGAAGCAGAAGATATGGACGTAGGGATAGATACCCAAGGCCTAGAAGACCTTTCTCAGGCCTCAAACGTGCCAGGTTTTGATCCATCGCAGACCACTAAGGACAACAAACCATGTGATTGCTGGACTCCGATGAGTACAGTCCGAAAAATAAAGGTTGAACCAATGCAAGAAAATAAAGATCCACCGCCGACCAAGTGGAATAAATGGAAAAGGAAACTTGAGCTTAGTGACTCACCCATGCCATCTGATGGTTATCCACAGTCCACATTGTATTGGTTTAACGAAGAATCATGGGATAGATTCAATGAATGGTCAATGAATCCAACAAATTTAAGGATTGGTCCTACAATCTTTAATACCATAGCTACAAGAGTAATAGGTCCTGAAAAATGGCTTGGAAATGAGGTATTGATTTCTTAATTATATAAGGTTGAATCATGGGAGTTTCTTTCAATACTGCATTGATTTATTTTCCTCGTGAATATTCAGGAAATGGATGCGTTCATGTATATATGGCGAGTGAAGAATTCTTTGAGGCATTTGACACCAGACCGTGTTGCTTTGCCCGCCTTATTTTGCCTTCAAATTGAAAAAGCATACCTTAGCTTTACAGGTAACAAAAAGGCTATGTATTAGGCGATATTCTTTTAGCTTACGAAAGAGGTGAACTTCCATCTCATGGGCGGACTAATAAAGTATGGGGTGTCGATGTTGATCATCTCTACTTTCCTCTGTTTGTCGGAGGTAATATTCCTTGGTCATTTCTCACAGATCTTCATTTATTTCCCCATATTAAAAGATTTAGCAATGTTCAATGCAGGTAATCACTAGATAGCTATATGCGTCAATTTTATTAAGAAGACAGTTGAAGTATTTGAATGCTTGCCGAGAAGGAATAAGCAATACGTGGAGAAGTTTGTTGTTATGATTCCTAGGATAGTAAAAGCTGTTACACCACCTGAAAACAAGAAGTATCTACTCCTGGAAAAGTATTCTATCGTAGAGGTACCTCTGAAGGCTAGATTGAACAAGAGTTTATGTGATTGCGGGGCATANAGAAGACAGTTGAAGTATTTGAATGCTTGCCGAGAAGGAATAAGCAATACGTGGAGAAGTTTGTTGTTATGATTCCTAGGATAGTAAAAGCTGTTACACCACCTGAAAACAAGAAGTATCTACTCCTGGAAAAGTATTCTATCGTAGAGGTACCTCTGAAGGCTAGATTGAACAAGAGTTTATGTGATTGCGGGGCATATGCACTCAAACATTTAGAATGCCAACTCCTTGGTCTTGACCTCAGGTTAGTGGATGACGAAATCATCCAGGGTTGTCGTCAAAAGATTGCTCTGGATATATGAGAGGCTGCAAAACATCCCATTTTAATTGAGTTGATGACACAATATGTGCCTTCTAATTTTGAGTCATCTATTGTATTCTACCTCGTAGAAGACTGATTATGTGTGTTTGGTTTTAAGTTTTAGTTCGTTTTTTCAGCTGATGAAAAATACTCTGTTTGGTTTATGTGACAAAATAAGTATGGTTTTTTTTTTGGATTTATGTGACAACACTAGTTGGGTTATTTTATGTTGTATGCAAGATTTGCTATAGTCAGCCCGAAATCCTAACTAAACCCTAAACTAACCTTAAAAAACCTAAACTAACCTTATTAAACACTAAACTAACCCTAACTAAACCCTAAACTAACCCTAACTACAACCTAAACTAACCCTAACTAAACTCTAAACAAACCCTCAACAAACCCTAACTAAACCCTACACTAACCATAAACAAACCCTAAACTAACAATAACTAAGTACATTTGTCTTTTTTCTTTGCTTCATGTATTTACACAGATTTGTAGGATTCAAAGAGAAAGTACAAGCGTTTAGGAGTAGACTGTATTCAGTATTTTTGTAAATTTTTGTGATCTGCCTTAGGTAGAGTACACGTTATTTAGATATGAAAACGACGGTGTTTTGTCAAATTGTTTGACCTAAACCTGTTTTTTCTTCATTCTTGCACGATAGAGAGAAACTCAGGAAGCGAAAACTTGGAGATCGAGTCAATTATGTCTTTGATCAATTCTCCGGCCGAATCAAGATATCGAGTACCCAAACAACGGGAATTCCCACTAGATGCAGATGCGGTGAAGGGGCTGTTCTTTTCACTTCGAAAACATGGGAAAATCCAGGTCGATTATTTCACTATTTTCCGATGGGATCTGAGAAGGTTAGTCCTTTAATCATATAATGTTGAATTCGGTATAGCCTAATTGTATGTTTGAATTTCATGGTGAAGGACAAAACACACTTGTTCAAATGGACTGATAAGTCAGTTGTTGAAGAAATTGAAGACTTGCAGGAAGTGGTTGACGTGGTGCTCATTGACAATATCCAGTTTAGAATTCAATGAGAGCTTCTGAGATCTTGCTGAAACAACATGACAGTAGAATTGGAGATATGGAAGATGCAATTGCACATTGTGAAGCGAAGACCATCGAATGTAGTAGGGAATTAAGGATCATAAAAGCTTTGTTTTTGTGTTGTTTGGTGATGGTATTCATGTACATCACGTATCCATGATTGTCTGTGTGTAATACATTGTTCATTTTGTTTTTCTTTCAAATAAATGTGGGTTATTATCATCAACTTGAACCAAAATGTTGCGAAAACCAAATCGTTCTGTCAAATACCAAATTGTCAAATAGGTTGTCGAACATAAAATTCCAAAAGTGTAAAAAGCAAAAAGGAGAGAACAACGACAACACTAAGATCCTGACCACACACCATTCACTAAATAGGAATATTACATGTTCGTCTCTTGTGTCCTGCCATACCACATTGGTTGCACTTGTGCTTTTTATTCTTCTTTGATCCTTGAGAAGATTTTATCTTGTCTTCTACTGTTTCATACCTTCTCTTTACTGGTCTACCAGCACTCTTTGTTGTTTCTGGTGATAATACATTTGCTCGTTTTACCTCACCTTAGACATTCCATTCATGCTCTGGAACTGCTATTGGATTAATGCATTTGCATAGCCCGTTCTCCATGTTGCAGTGGTGTATACGCCATCCGTAAATCTGTGTGCTTCCATACCTATGTTAAAAAAATAGAGATCCAATAATTTCTATGTGCTACAAAACACTGAGCATGTAATAGGTCTCAAGATCATCTATTTGCACTTAAATACCTCGAGAATAAATTGTTGGAATGGCGTGTCGGCAAGGTATTTTTCCTATATTGTACTTCCCACATGTGCATGTTCTCCTTTCCAAATCAACATGACAATCATATGTGTCTCCTTTCACAACCGACCTGAAATTGTTAACCTTGTAAACCTGAAATCCTTTTGCCTTCACAATTCTCCTATCAATCTTTTTCTCAACCTTAACAGTTAAAGGATCCAGCTGCTTGGAGCTTACCATTCGATGCTCGTAGAACCACTGGGTCATCATTTCTCTTATACTATCTATCAAAGGAATAACTGGAAATTCTCGAGGTGATCTCATAACAGAATTTATCGACTCTGCAGGGTTATTAGTCCTAATGTCATACCTTGGTCCAGGGAAAACAGAACGAGCCCATTTTCACACATCAGCTTCCTGTAGATATCTTCCAAGCGCAGGACACATATCAACAATTTCCGTATAACGTTCTTGAAATTCACTGAACTTATATGCCCATGAAGCATTTTCAACCAAAGTAGTCAACCCCTTTGTCTTGAATTTCTTAACGACATTGGTCAACAAGTGATGAATGAAAATTTCATGTCTTGATTGAGGGTAGACAGTACCAAGCACTTTAGCAATTGACGCATTAATATCTAACACAAAAGCTAGGCTGTTACTATCAGCGATAACAACATTCAATTGTCTAAAGAACCACTCCCATGAATCATGATTTTCTGAATCAACAACTCCAAATGCGATCGGATACAAATTGGAGTTACCATCTACAGCTGTAGCCACAAGTAAAACACCTTTGTATTTATTTTTCAGAAAAGTTCCATCAAACAACAATCACCTTGTGAATGCCATTGTAGAATCCTCTAACTGATTTCCCAAACGAGAGAAGCAGATACTTGAATCTCCCTTCCTTAGTTGTTTTATAGTGAGTATGCGTACCAGGACTAGCTTCTTTAAGCATATACAAATATTTTGGTATTTTTGCATAATTTTGATCAGGTATACCTCTCACTGCTGCAATTGCAAACTCACGAGCTTCCCAGGCGTGCCAATAACTGATCTCACAACTATGCTCCAAGTGCATATACTGGACCATGTCATTCGCTTTTGGTCCTTCATGGGGATCCTAAAATCGATGTTTTATCAAACTCCTAATTGTTCTTGCTGACGCCTTTTTCCAAATTTGCTTTTTTTAGAAGGTGCACATGAATGTATTGCCACACACTTGTTGATCATGAAGTATGTAGACCCATCTAGATATTGCGCACACACTGTCCAGTTGCAAATTGAATCTTTACATACGAATATACTACCATTTTCTCGTCGATTTGAGAACAACATAATCGAAATTATTGTTCATCACCCAAATTTCAGTTGTTAGCTTTAGGACAGCTTTACTTCTGAATATTTGATCCTTCGTCACAAATTTTTTTTGCGAAGATCGGCCATCCTTATCACCATCTTCATTGTTTTCTCTCCTTAAACCAGCATCACCAGAAACATCCTCAGCGACACGCTTCTTCTCAGAAGAAACAGTTGACGGTTTGACAAAGTCTCCTCGATTATTTTGATGAACTTCTTCATCCTCAACATTACTTTAGTCACACAGTTCCTTATTCAAATCGATTGTGACTCATTCCTTTTCTTTTGCAGCAGTACCAGTCATCATAACACACAAGGTTGTAGAAGAACCCTTCTTCGCATACATCACAAAATTAGATACCTGTCGATTATTGCTGATTATAATACGAGGATTCCCTTTTTGATTCACCATCTCATAATTGAACTCGACATTAACGAGCATATGTTCGACCCCATAATCCTCACACACCATGATTTTGAGCTCCTCCAACAGAGTTGTAGTTTCAATAGTTACCAGTCGACCACGCCTTTCCTTGTCTGCCAAGAAAATTCATTGATCACTGCAACTTGACATCCATACACCAGATGTAACATAGATTAGAACCATGTTGTTTTGATAGATAGAAGAGGTGGTTATGTCGATGAGGAAAAGAGAGAGACAAAGAAGAGACGAGGGAGAGAAAGATCGTGAGAGAGAATCATAGGAGAGAATACTTTTTGAGAGATTTTTGTTAGATTTTGTGTAGATTTAGGTAAGTTATTTCTCGAAATACGGAAGTTTCCAGATTTACTCGATTTAGCTATAATATGTATTCTAAGTAGAGCGGAGTAATGAAGGGAGGGTCGGTTGTTTATTCTATCTTAGGCGTAGATAATGTAAAAGGTAGAACAAGTTATAACACATAATCCAAACTGGGTAGTCCTTAGAGTCGCAGTTATAATTCGGGGTTATTCTTAAAATAGACTAAAGACATCTTGTTAGAATACTACTTCAAGAAATCTACCAAAGATAGATTACAGAAGAAAGTTTTGTTTGTGTTCTGTACCTAAGATACATCTATGTGTAACACCTACTATATGATTCCTAGAAGAAGTAGATAGCTAGAATGCGTAATCTATCCTTGCTATAACATTAAATAAAACATGACCCCAAAATGTTGTTTAAAAAAATTTATACATATGAATACTCATACTAATGTTTACTGACACTTTCATATTTTTTTATATTTAAAAAAAATCTATTACACAAGGGTAAAACATGTCCAAATTGTCCAAAAGTATGAAAAGTCCCATTAGGCCAAATAAATATTCAAGATGTCCCTTTTTCCAATTTTCCCTAAATGAAACGGCACGTTTTGATGAATGGGACACGTGTCCATTTCTCTTGCGTTGAATTGATAACATAGCATCACAGTAGAGATGAAGAGTCTACTTTATATAATAAGATAATTTTTGAATATTAATTTTGATCGTTTAACCATCCTGTCATAATTCCTCAAACATACAGTCATGAACTATCAATATAAGATCGATGAGTAGGGTCATATTTGTTGATATTTTATTTTTTTAACCTATTTAATTTACATTAGGCTTCAATGATATCATCTACATGTTGTAATTCACCATCTCCCTTCGATATAATTTTATCACTACAAAAAAGTTTAACTACGAAATTTAACGAGGAAACTGGATCCTTGTAAACTTACGTGGGTTTTACGAGTACATTACAAAGAAAAAAAATAATCAACGTAGATATGTCATGAATTAACGACAAAGCTGTTTCCTCGTAAAAGAGACGTTAATTATCGAGTATAATATGTGGCAAACTGTTTTTCCTAGTAAATTACTCGTTAGTGTTACATGTATTTTACGAGGAAACCATTTAGCGAGGAAAGAACGAGTCCAACTACTTTTTAGTTGCAAAACGTGTTTGTTGGGTGTGCCTACTATTTTTCCTCGTAAATTCCTGGTAAAATGTCACATACCAACTTCAAAATTTTCCTATAAAAATGTCGTTTGATTTCAAATGAAACACACCCAAAAAAAATTCAAAACGTAAAAGAGAGAAATTGAAAACATGAAAGAAAAAAATGTCTGGTGATGAAAATATTTCTGAGTTGCGGAGTGAATGTATATACACAGAAATGGTAATGAAAGAGTGGCGAAAGAATTTTTCAAAGGGCTGGAGACATTTATGCATCGAGCAGATTCTACACAACTCACGCAAGAAAGTGGTAAGATGTTTTGTCCTTGTCGGAAATGCAACAATTCAAAATTAGGCCCTCGTGAAAATGTATGTAAGCATTTAGTACATAGAGGTTTCACGCCACATTAATATATTTGGTTTCAACATGGAGAAGGTTATAGTTGTGGGAATGAAGCTAGCAGTAGTAATAAGAATTTTCAGGTTGAACCGGCTGATCATTTGCATAATGAAAATAGTTACCATCAGGAGGAGTAGATCGTAGATTATATAGGGTTCACGATAAGCAAGGTGATGCATTTGTAGCTCATGATGAAGTTGAAGAACCTAACATAGAAGCAAAATTTTTTTATGAAATGTTAGATGTTGCGAATCATCTAATTTATAGTGGTTGCAGAGAAGATCTCTCTAAATTGTCGCCGGCTGCTAGAAATGGTGAATATTAAAACCGATCATAATCTACCTGAAAATTGCATAGATGCATGGACAGACTTGTTTAAAGAGTAATTACCGGAAGACAATGTGTCTGCTGATGCTTATTATGAAATTCAGAAATTGGTTTATAGTCTTGGGTTACTTTTGAGATGATAGACTTTTGCATCGACAATTGCATGATTTATTGGGGAGATGATGAGAAGTTAGAAGAATGTCGATTCTGCAAT